CGTAAAACATCGATGGACTTGACTATCGATAGTTTGACAGCGCTACTAAACATGTGATTTTATATGTAATTTTGTTGTTTTCGCACCTAATAAGTTATTTTTTCGCAGTCCATCTTGGTACTTTTCACCTGACATCGGACGAGAAAAACAAACATGTTTGAATTTATCGTCACTGACGGACGACAAAAGTGTAGCTTTGGTGTGAAATAGAAGTATATGCTTTTGTGCAATATGTTTATTTGTATATGCATATGAAGCACATTTAACTGATGAAAACATAAATTGTTGAAGTGAAACTTCTTTAGCGGCGGTTGGTTGGTTGGGAGTAAATTGGCAAATTCAACGGAAATTGCACACGGATCTGGTTGGGACGGAAATGATGCAACGGAAGTGATGTAGCGGAAATGGTGCAACGGAAATGATTGGGGCTGAAACTGGTTCTTCTTGTGTATATGCAAAGGAAATGATGCAACAGAAATGGTGCAACGGAAATGGTTGGGGCTGAAACAAGTGCTTCTTATGTGTATGCATATGGTATAAATTTAACGAAAATTTGCTAACAAAAGGTTAAAGAATAACACTTAGAAATAGACCAATACAAGAATGAAAGTAAAGGTGACTACGTACATAAATGAAGAATAGGATAAAGGCAAAGGTAAAAATAACAACAAAAACAAAGATGCGTAAAGATAAAGGCAAAAATGAAGACCAAGGTAAATCTAAACACTTTACTTATATATATAAGAACAAATGTGAAGGGGAATATGTAGCTGAAAAAAATGATGAACATAGAAGTAAAGACAAAGAGGATGATGGGGATACCGATGAAAGCAAAGATGGAGATAGGGAAAGAAAGATTAAAATAGAGGCAATTAAAGAGGAAAGGATATAGAGAGAGACACAGAGAGTCAATTTGGGAACTATTTTTGGATTTTAGAGATTTTCGGGATTCTCGAGACCTATCGATAAAATAATCGATATTTTTATCGATTTTGTTATCGATATTTTTCGATTTGTTATCGATATTAACCGATTTTGTTATCGATATTCATCGATTTTGTTGTCGACAATTGTCGAATTTGTTATTGATATTTATCGACTTTTTTAGCGATATTTATCGATTTTGTTATCGATATTCACCGATTTTGTTATCGATGCTTATCGATTTTGATATCGATATTTATCGACTTTGTTAGCGATATTTATCGATTTTGTTATGGATATTTATCGATTTTGTTATCGATATTTATCCACTTTGCTATCGATATTTATCGATTTTGTTATCGATATAAATCGATTGTTATTGATATTTATCGATCTTGTTATCGATATTTATCGATTTTGTTATCGATATTAATCGATTATGTTATCGATATTTATATCGATTTTCTAATCGATTTAGCTACCAATGGTATTATCGGTGTTGCTATTGAAATTTTTATCGAATTTGTCATCGATTTTAGTATCGGTATTTTGATGGACGTTATAATCGATTTTGTTATCGATAGAGTATAATGATAAATAAATAATATAAAAAAAACTTTTTAATATACAACGCTTTTATAAATGGACTAAAAAGTAGAAAATAATATTTCTCAGTCCCATAGAATTTGTTTTGATAACTTTTGATTTTGAAATTTTAGCAAAAGTCGTTATAACCAATTTATGAGATTGAAAATGAAAAGCGTGGGGCGCATGCAATACAAAGCATTATATTTAATTGACAATAGGCAAACTACATAACATAGACCTAAAATTTCTTCATCGAAAGTACAAATTTGAGATCGATTTTAAGCGGTCGTTATTCATATATCCACATACATATGAACATATATTACCCTTCATATCAATTCAGGTGGCTATTATATGCGCCCCACGCTTTTCATTTTCAATCTCATAAATTGGTTATAACTAAAATTTCAAAATCAAAAGTTATCAAAACAAATTCTATGGGACTGAGAAATATTATTTTCTACTTTTTAGTCCATTTATAAAAGCGTTGTATATTAAAAAGTTTTTTTTATATTATTTATTTTATACTTTTTAGTCTTGTCTGTATAAAATTTTGCGATAGATATTAAAATAATTCAACGATATTAATAGAAAGGTGCACACACATGCATTTACATATGTATGTACATACGAACGAGCACCAATTAATTTTATTTAAAGAAATGGCGTGTCGTCTATTTCCGCTGTAGCGAACGTAGTACATAGGCCGACATCTAGATGTCATCTACCTCGCCCTATTCACTACAGATGTCGCATTATGCACTAGACTTTTTTATAGGAACTTTGCAAAGCAAAGGTTTTATGGTGTCGGACACACAACATTGAAAGTTTCTGGATCCACAACATTGAAAGTTTCTGGAGCCACAACATTGCAAGTTGATAAAAGCGTTGTAAAATGAAGATAATGGAAAAACAGAATAGCATAAATGTTATTAAAACGAACAGTGGTAGAGGTAGGGATCTACATTGATAGAAAAAAGCGAAAAAATATAACCTTAAGCAAAAGCAAATGTGTGTATGTATAGATAGATAAGTAACGTAAGTTTCACTTCTACAGTGTGGCCCAGGCGCACTTACTTTTTTTTTTTTTAATTGGATATTTACATAAATCTCATGGTCGTTTTATTTTAATTCTGAGTCCTTTTGCAATTTTTAAACACCTAAATATCACAGAAATTACGTAATTTGCGTAGATATATTAATATTTCGTTCAATATTTCGCTTAAAATTCCAGATTTCTTGGAAAAAAGTAAAAAAATCTGAGCATATTTCGGGCCAAGTGGAGTAGGGAGTAGATTTTGAATTTAAAAAAGAAATGGGAGTAAATCTACCCGCTCGGAGCAAAGGCCGGACGCTGTTTACAATTAAGAAAGCGTGCTAAATTTAAAAAAATTAGCATATGAAAGAGCACCAACCCAACTCGTAATTCATTTAAGTATAAAAAGTTTAGTATAGAAATATTCAATTCAAATACGCCCATATTAAAATGAAGCGCTTTGCACTTACCGATTGCTTTTTCATAATTAAGTTAAAA